AGGTGATGTACATTGCAGAGAGGGTGTCTATCTACATTCATACTCACATACACCTATACACACTATACATATACACATATATAACATATTTAACAAGAGAACTTGTATCTCAGTACAATAGTCTGCTAATTTAATAATTTTTTTGTCTCAAATGCATTAATTTACCAGTTATCTTGGTTCTTTTTTTTTGTGGGTTAAGAGGGAGTTAAGAAATTTCAGAGCTATAGTATAATCATTCCTGAGGAAGCACCATAATTTCCAAACTTATAGCCATTTGGTCAAATGTCTAACTATATACTGGCTAGGTTCCCCAAAGCCTAAGCCAAGATATTGAGTATTTTTATATCACAAAACCCTGAGATGGACTTAAGAAATCAGTGAACACTTAATCAGCAAGTCTTTGTTAAGTACCTACTCTATCTTAGGTACTGTGTTAGGTGCTGGGGGGCCTCCAGTCCTCCCTTTGGGTCAACATTGGGATTAGATAGGCTCACTTGAGCCTAAAAGCAGTATTCAAGATCTAGGTCTCACCCAGGCCAGAGTATAGGAGATCCAAAGGATCCCTGATGAGTTTGGTCATTTGGGGGAAATTTATTAGAGTGGTTAGTTAAGGTCTAGATCTAAATAGACTCTTCTGAGTTGGTTGTTCCCAAGTTCTGACCAACCTGCCTACATAGAAGTTCTTTGAATTACAATCCTATCTGGACTTTAACTATTATGTATACATTTGTATCGATTAACTTTATATTTCTCCTTTTTGTATTTTTATATACTTGTCTTCTTGGTTAGTATGTAAGCCCCTTGCTTGTACAGATTGTTTCATTCTTTGTATTTGCATATCCTCAGCATTTAGCACAGTGCCTGACACATAGTAAGCACTTAATAAGTGCTTATTGATTGATTTGTTGACGTTTTTGGTTGTAAGCCAACGGTTTGAGATAACTCTATAAACCTTGCAAGCACTAGGGTTGTATTGAAAAATGAAAACAGAGAACTGCAACTGGAATAGAAATGTAAATGTCAGGTGACAGGGAGAAATAGAAGTCAGCAAACTTTGATGTCGTTTAGACCAGAAATGCAAAAGCTGCAACTTTCTTATCGCAGAACCTGACTGCCACAGGAAGCAGTGATACTGCCGTGCGTGCCCCCCAATATAATATGTGGAAACATTATCTTTCACTGATTTGTAGCTGGCTGAGAAGGTATCATGTTGATGATGCTCAGCATCCAGCCACTCATCCACTTCTTGTCCCTTTGTTCAGTATTATGTTGTCTTAATCTCTCAGCCAGTATATACCTCCTCCCATACAAGTTTAGGGCTATGTCATATCCAAAAAGCTCCCTGTGATGTCCTGCATTAGGGAGAGGAGAAATTTAGAAATGTTGATACACACACCCACACACACACACACATACATACATACATACATACATACACATATATTTGCTGAATTCAAGGTCATTCCCCCATAGGGTCCGGGACACCAATTTTATCAGAATTTACCAATCAGTATATTAAGCATCTTGTTCCTGAGAAGCGTTACAGTACTGGTAACAAAGAAAGTCTTTGTATTTTTTTAACCACTCTTCCCTCTTTTGTTACCCTCATTCTTGAACACTACATCTTTTACTCTCTTTGGATCAGTTCCTCTCAGTAGGATAGACCTTCAATCACAAGTATACCCCCATGCTCCTTGCCCCTTTTACCCTAGACCCAGCAAAAGTGCTGCCAGCCACCCTTTCCTTGTCCAAAGGCGTGAGAACCTATAGGTCATGAAGCTCCCATGAAGTAACACATTGTGTTACTAGTCAAGCCATCAGGCTGTTGAACATCTTAGTATGAATTGTGAGTAGGTCTTTTGTGGTTGCACTATGGCCCATTGATGTGAATATGAAAATTACCTTCTCAGTATTTATGTGAGATAATTTAATTTTAGCTCTTGCAAACAAAATCAGAGCTATGTAATTTAACAAAATGGCTCCTTTAGTGTTCTTCTAGCCAAAAATGTGATGAAGCCCTAAAACATAGTGAATTTTCCTGAGGAATTTTAGTTTTGACACGTGACAAACAAAATTGACAAGTCTATCTGTGTTTATTCAATAGTTTCTTTTTTGTTTGTTTGTTTTGTATTGGTGGGGCAATTGGGGTGAAGTGACTTGCCCAGAGTGAGTGTTATTTGTCTGAGGGCAGATTTGAACTCAGGTCCTCCTGACTCCAGGGCCGATGCTCTAGCCACTGTGCCACCTAGCTGCCCCTATTCAATAGTATTGATTTAGTTGCAATGCAAGCCAAGAGAAGGATTTTTAAAAACCAATTGGACAGTACTGCAAAATACATAATGTCTTTCCTCTAGCCCTTCCCCCATCCCCATTAGATAATTTTTCTTTTTACTAAATTTTATATATATAAATATACTCAACTTTTTTAGGCATCATGTCTTTATTTGATCCTGTCCTCATTCATACCTCACCTTCATTTCAAATATAGGATCAGTCCCAGCTTTTTTATTTTAGCACAGTGTCTCATAGGTATTTAGAGAGTAGTAAGATCTACATGAGTTATAAGGTCTACATTCAGTCCTAATTCCATGACAGAATCAGTTTACAGAAACTTTTCAGTTGTTTTAATTAAAAACAGCCTTGTTACTTTCAATACCATTTGAAAATATTAGAAAATGTCATGACTGCCAATTGGAAAATAACTGGAGAGGGGAAATTCTTTAAATTTATTCAGAGCTATCATGAGAAATAGCTGCTCAGAAGTGTACTCAATTAATGGCAATTAGCATTGCTAATTGATTGCAAATACTGTCAATTCTGTTTTATTCAACCTATTGAATTCTTATTTCAAAGGTATTTACCTATTATGTGAAAAAGAACATGTATAAGTGCTTCTTTTAAGAAAAAATTAAAAAAAATTAATCTGTCCCCTTCTTCCTTCTCCTACTGAACAAAACAAAAAAGCAAACAAAAAAGCCAAGCCAGAAAAATAAAGCCTTCAATATATAGCTGACCAGCAAAACAAATTTTCAAATAGGCCATGTCCAAAAATGTGTCTCTTTTTGCATTTTAAATTCACCATCTCTACCAGAAGGTGAATATCGTATTTTGTTTTTATTCTCTTGGGCTTAAAGTTGATCATTGCCTTGATCATTATTTTAAAGTCTTTTGAAGTTATTTTTCTCCATAATGTTGTTGTCATTGTATAAAATTTTTCTAGCTTTCCTTCCTTCGATCTACACTAGTTCATACAGGAATTCCCAGTTTCCTTTGAAACTGTCCATCATTTCTTATGGAACAATAGTATTCCTGCATATGTTTCTTAAAATGGTAATTGAGATACTGGAACCAAAGAATTATGATTTCGTTATAAAGTTTGTCAGGCAGCTAGATGGTGCTGGGGACAGAACACTGGGCCTGAAATCAGGAAGATATGAATTCAAATCTGGGCTCAGGCACTTCCTAGCTGATCCTGGGCAAGTCACTTGACCCTGTTTGCCTCAGTTTCCTCATCTAGAGAAGGAAATGGCAAACCACTCTAGCATCTTTGCCAAGAAAACCCCAAATGGGATCAACCAAGAGTTGGACACAACAGAAACAACTGATCAACAACAAATATTCTAGTCATTATTGTCCCCTAAATACAATATATAAATTAAAAACAGTAGTTGTTCTCCCACCAGCTTCACACATGTTATTTAGCTCTTGGTGTACCTAAAGTATCCATAGTACCACTTAATTTGCACTTAACAATCATTTCTAATGTATTGGTGTGAAAATGTATTTTGATGTCTGGGAACACCAGTCTTCAGAACTCTATCACCAGATCCCCACAAAGCCCAATAGTAGCATCCAGGATCAGAGGTTCCATTGGAAGGGTATAATGGATACTGATAATGTTAACTCTTTCAACTTTCACTTTTTCATAACTAAAAATACCTTCCTTCTATATCTCTTCTATATCCTTCTATATCTCTTCTATATCCCTCCATCGCTTCTCGGGGGTCCAGAATTGGTGAACAAAAGGTAGTTGGCTTCCAGAGAAGGTATGGTGTAGGCTCTGGGACACCTTTCTTTGAATGTATGAGGTGGTTCTAAGAGTTTTCAAGTCAAGAACTACATGAACATATGTAGACTTGTAAGTCTATGTAAGATTCATATGTTATATATAAGTCTATAGAAGACACAAACTGCACTAAAACTTTTGGGATACCCTGTATGCATCCTATGCATATACATATATCCAATCATCCTTTCTTTTCTTTCTTTTCTTCTACTTGGTTATAGCCACATGTATTCTTGCCATGTCTGGTCAATGGGGATTTTTTTTTTGTATTCATAAAAATGTTCCAACAGAATAATTGTCAACACATTGAACAAAATATCTTAAGGGGTGTTTCTTTTTTGTTCTTCTGCTTATTTTGTTTGTTTTTACTTTTTTCAACTTTTAAATGAATTTGAAATATTTAAAAAATGGATTTTGCTCAGTTTAGGGTGAGGGCATGGCATTGTCATAATAGTTGTAAAACAAGTGAAATTCCAGATGTAAAGATTACACACATAATCACAAATAAAGATTATAGAAGACTGTTGCTATCTGACAGATCTTATTTGAATAATAATTTTGAGTGGGATTCCAGGCCGTGCTCGGACTGTTGGTGAAATAAAATATGTAGACTTTGGAGGGAGTTGTTCCCATTTCGTTGAGATGGATTAATTTAGTAAACTTATGAAACTGGTTATCTATTATGACTATACAATAAGAGAGGCAGAAAATACTGCAGCAAAGAGTAAGAAGTAAAGGCAGTAAGAATGAAATAATTTTAGAATACACAAGGATGAAAAAAATTAAAAACAGAAAATATTTAATGAGAAATCCTTAAACTGTGACATAGTAAAACATACCTTTTCCCTTTCAGATTCAAATGAGAATAGGTGAATACATTGTTTTTATGTTGATTTGCAAATGATACAAATTAATTTCCTTTTTTTTTTAATAGACACTGGTAGCAGGGTATCTGCTGACGGCTATTGTTGGTGTAGAAATTTGGCACAAACCTTTGGTGTTTGGTTATTATGTTACAACTGTATCATTGACCTTGATTATAGGTAAGTTCTCAGGTGACTCAAATGTATGTTATTTTTTTCACCATTTATTTTCATATTTTCATGATTTTATTTTGTTTGCTACAGAATCATGTAATCAACATGCTCTTCATAACTCTTGGGGAGTGAGGGTCGTTTTCTTCTTTCTCTTTCCTTGTGATCTTTGGTTATTAGTTGATTATTCACCCACTCAGAAATTTTAAAATCATCTATTTATGTGCAAAATAGTGTGCAGATGCTGAGATTTTTTTTTTTGAGGGAGTGGAGAGAATCAGATCTATGATTTCATTGGTAAAGGGGTCTCCTTGTGAGGAAACTTCCCCTAGTGGTGCTCTGGAATTTACTCATTTAATTTTTAGTCTCAGAGAATTATGTGGGGCTCAGAGAGGTTAAGTGATTTGCCCAGAGTCATATGTTGATATATGTTTGGGGAAGGACTTGAACTCAGGTCTTCCTGACTCCAAAGCTATTTATTTACTCTGCCATATTTCCTCTTCTCCAGATATAATTAGGATGAAATAAAGCATAGCCTTTGCCTTCAACAGCTCACATCCTAGTAAAGGAGATAATACATAAACAAATAAACATAATAAAAAAAATAGAGAATATCTTCCATATGAGAAGCACAAAGTTTTTTGGGAATTCTGGGATGGAAAAATTAATTTCTGCCGGTAGGGGTCAGGAAAGCTTTGGTGGAAGAGGTAGCATTTGATGTGGGTCTTGAAGAATGGACAGTATTTCAATAGGCTGTCCGAGATTTGTTTCTTGATTGATACTTCCCTCTATGATAACAAGAGGGGAAGCCTCAGCCTGTAACTTCTCAGGTATGTAAGCAGAGGCCAGGGCCATATCTCATCATAGTCCAGTTCCTGTTGTGACATGAGAAAGTCAGGTCATGCCACTCCCTTGCTCCTATGGGTTAAAAAAATAAACAGATTCTCAACTGAGAATCTCTGCTGTCTGGGAATGCAGAGAGATGGAAAGAACCCTCCTGGGTTTAAAGTTCTCCAAGGAAAAACTCTTTGGAATTATACCAGTTCACATATGAGGCCGTGAGGCCACCTGACTCTGGGCATTTTTACTGGCTCCCCATACCTGGATTTCTCTCCCTTCTTATCTCTCCCTCCAGTCTTCCCTGGCTCCCTTCAAATGCCAGCTAAAACCCCACCTTCCATAGGATTCCTTTCCTAATCCCCCTTAATTCTAGTGCCTTCCCTCTGTTGATTATCTCCAATTTACCTTGTACATAGTTTGTACGTAGTTGTCTCCCCATCAGCCTGTGAGTTCTGAGAGCAGTGACTGACTGTCTTTTCCCTTTCTTTGTATCCCTAGGGCTTAGCATAATGCCTACCACATAGTAGATGCTTAATAAATGTTTACTGACTGTCTGACTGAAACCAACATCCACTGTGAGTGCAGGAATACCCTTGATTCCATGATTTGTCTTCTTCTGCTATATGAATAATGCACCTCAATGGGGTTATACTTGTTCTGCATTTTTGAGACCTAAGATGGCTAGTCTCAAGATTGCTAAGATAAGAAAATTTTATGCTCTCTTACATAATTCTGCTTTCGATCCCCTGCTGGAAATAATTAAAATCAGTTGTCTTCTAGCACATGGCTGGGCTATCTGCCACCCCACCCTGGCATGCTGGTTTCCTGTCTTTTTTGGAGGATAATAGAGCAAAAAAACCATAGGATGTGGAGGCATAAGGAACCCTAAGGATCATATAGCCTAGCCCATGTACTGTACACATGAGGAAACTGAGGCCCAGAGAGGTGAAGCATACTTGCCCAGGGTCATACATAGGTAAGAAGTATCAGTCAGGCCAAGCCCATCCCTTCTTTCTGCCAGGAAGTCCTTAACTAGAGGAATTCTTCTTGCTGGTTACTCTCCCCTTATCCCCATGCTGCGCCGAGTGCAGAGACATGGCACGTGCCTCTTATAACAAGTATAGATGCTTATTCCTCTTCAGCAGTGTAGAGACCTGGTGACTCCTGTTCTCTCTGGTTACATTTGCATTGGGAGGGATCTGCTTCTCTGCTGTACTTGAAGTGTAACCGTAGCTGCCTTTCATGACTAAGCATGCACCTGACAAGAATTTTTCCTACTACCGTGGCAAGGATAGTATCTGGTGGTCCTTACCCTTTAAGGCTGCCTTACCTAGGCCTGTAACAGTCAGTCAGTGAGCACTTATTAAATGCCTACTATGTGCTGCACATTGTGCTAAGATCTGGGGATACAAAGGAAGGCATAAGACAGTCCCTGATAGAGATGAGCTTTCTAGGCACTGGAAATGGTGCAATGAAAGTAGGAAATCCCTGGATATATTGGTATAGCAGTGAGTGGTCCAACTTGGCTCCAACTCTTCGTGACCCCATTTGGGTTTTTTTTGGCAAAGATACTAGATTGGTTTGCCATTTCCTTGTCCAGCTCATTATACAGATGAGGAATCTCAGTAAAACAGGGTTAAGCGACTTGTCCAGGGTCACATAGGTAGTAAGTATCTGAGTCCAGATTTTAAATCAGGAAGAGGAATCTCTCTGACTCCAGGACTTTTGCTCTATTCACTGTGCCACCTAGCTGCCCTATCTACATGATTAAGTCATACTTAATAATACTCTTCAGCTGTGAGAAGGGCTTTCCTGCAGAGTAAAGATGTTGGCTCTTCTCATATCCTCTGAGGATAGAACAAAAAGAATTGGGCTCCTATTGTAGTATCGAAATGTTGATTTAAGAATAAGAAATAATTTCCTGATGAAGCTTGCTATCAGACCTAGGAAATGGCTATTGATATTGGTTGTAGAAGACCTCCCTTGGAAATTCAGGGGAAGGGATCAGTGGTCCTACTTGACTCCTGTCTCTCCTTAAGTTGGGTTTTCACCTCTAAGGGCCTTAGTTTTCCAGATTTTGCCATGGATATAGGAGGAGCTATTATCACCATATCACATTTCAAAGGACACTGTTTCTCCAAGGTCTCTGCCCTTATTTTGATGGATAATTAAGGACCCTCCACAGATGTAGCTCTTCTCTATCTTCTAATTTTGGGTCATTGTTGTTTGTGTCTTTCTACATCTTTCTGTAAATTCTCTATTGTGGATATGCCTAATATGCTAGCAGCTTTTCTCTGGTTCCAATCCCAGCTAATTCAAACCAACAAGTATTTATTAAATATATACTCTATGGAAGGTATTGTGTTTAGTGCTGGGAATACAAAACCAAAACAGAAAGTATATTTTTTGTCAAAGAGGTTAACCTCTCTGGGCCATAGTTTCCTTATCTATAAAGTGAGGAGATTGGACTGAAATTTTATCTATATCTATATCTATATCTATATCTATATCTATATCTATATCTATATCTATATCTATATCTATATCTATATCTATATCTATATCTATATCTATATCTATATCTATATCTATATCTATATATCTATATATCTATATGTATATATGTATATACATATATATATATATTTATATATATATGTGGATAAAATGACCCATTTCTCTTTGTTTGGATTGGTTTGTCTGAAGCATACTTGGCAATCATTAAGTTAGTTCAGCCTAGGTGAAGCTTTTCCCTTCAATTGATTTGGATTTCCATCTGAGCCTGTTCCCTCTTGAAGCCATGTGGCCCCAGTTGAAGAGTTATCATTCCTGGATCTTGCCTGTATCTATATAAGCTCCTTCCAGTTATCAACAGCAGATTGCTGTCTCTTCTTATTTCAAAATCCAGACTCTCTCAACCCCAGCCCCTGCCCCATGTTGGATTGCCCACTAAGGTCTTGTTTCCAGTAAAATAGATTTTTAAAGTTCTCAATTATCATATGTAGAGCTGAAAGGATGGACATACCTTGACTGTCAAAGGTTGACTAAGCCTTTCCCAACTTGGGTAAATAGTTCTCCCCACTTATTCAGGTTCTCTTAACTTCTAAGGAGAGTGACCTTTATGGAATCCTATCCGTACATATTTACAAAAGGTCATTGTTGCAGCTTTAACACTTGCTAGCAGTGTGGATGTGGACAAGTAACTTCCTTTATTTGAAGTGCAATTTTCTTATTTATAAAATTGTGGATAATAATACCTATACTACCTACTTCCCTGGGTTGCTGTGAGGAAAGTATTGTAAAGGTCACTTCACCTCTCTGTGCCCAAAGCACATTTTGAAGATAAATCCTTGGGTTTGTTTTTCAAATTGTGTTTCTGGATGTACTTGATCAGATTCAGTTGCTTTTGCTAACTTCATTTTCTTAAAGACAGTTATCAGTGTTTAACATATTACATTAGGTAGAGAGTCCAAATATGTTGGTATTGTCAGTGAGAATAATTCATTGTAAAAATGTTCCATTTTTACGTATGTTCATTATTCCTTTTTAAGCTTTATCTTCTCTGCACAATCTATTTTAGTTGGACCTCAAGCCAAGCTCTCTATAGGCTAGTTTTCTCAATTGCTTTTTGCTGTTTTGTGAACCTATATTGCTTATAATTTGCAATTCTTGTTAGTAGTGTTTTGTAAATAAATTTGTACTCTTGACCTATATTGCCCTTGGCTGAAATGTCTTTCTGCTTAAAAAGGAGAATAAATTTTTTCCAGCTCAGGTAATTTAGTTTCCTTGTGTCAACTATTTTGCATCTGTCAGACTTCACTGGGAAATGACAGTAATCAAAGTTAATGTCTTAGCTTTTGTCCCTTATCCATGTTTCAGACTTGACAGTCTTTAAACAAGTCAGGTTGGGGCTTCTCTAATTACATGCCATGTTTCATTTTCATTTTTATCCTTTCTTTTAATTCAGCATTTACTTTGATTTGTGCTTTGCCTAGTAGATGATCAGATTTCTGATTTTGTAATGAACATTGTATCTATAACCAGTCACTTTGGCTCAGTTAAAATACTGTCATTTTTATTTATTTTATGTTGTTATTTGGTGTTTACCATGGCATTAGCCTTCTGGTTGGTCTATAAAAGCCTTTGGTCCCTTTCGTTCCTTCATCCTA